AAAGTGGTGGCCCACGTTTGGTAACGTCGCCGCTTGTTGTATGGGCCAGCCTATCCTCTGCGCGCTACAACCGTGCAGTCAACGGAGCGTGAGCTGCGCTAAATCACAGGTAGTAACTTATGCACGATGGTCGTTGCTGTCCCCGTATCTCAGTGGTCTCAAGCACGGAGGGACAACAGTGGCGTCGCGAGTTTGAGCTCTACCAGTGCCCGATGGAATGCGCTTGCTAAGGATTCCCATAAGGTTGAAAGGCGCGTACAGGGCTCTTGCGTGCGTGAAATGTCCGTCTGAATGCATCTAGGTGTGACGAGATTCTACTCATACCATTCAACTCCTACCACTCCTCTGTAACTAAAATAGATTTATTTGTGACACCGCAAGGCAAGCATTTTAGACTTCAGCGGAATAATGCATCATTGTAGATAACAGCAGTAGATCAGGTCAGAAATTAGGAGTGATACAAAGTTAGTAAGTTATGTTGTCTTAATGAATCAAAGAGTGCAACAAGCGTGGCGCGTGGAGGGTATGGATGCACTCCTCTGCTGGGTTAATCAGAGATGCGCAGGCGAAATTGTGTGCAGAGTGCAAGTGTAAGGTGTACCTAGTCCATTGGATTGGTGTGTGTTGGTGCGCAACTGGTCCGACAACGTTGCGTATTCAGGGTGGGTCAGCTGAGCGCAGCGTGAGAACCGACTGTAAAATGTTTTATGAATAGTAGTCTGTCATTGTATGATCAGGTAGTTGCAGAGGTAAGTGAGCGGATAGATACACAGAAATTGTAAAACTTGGCATTGCTCAGACTGCTATTGCGTGGTAGGTGTCCGTGACTTTACTAAGGAGCGAAATACACTAGTCATGTCGCAGTGCTTTTAAACACAATTGTGGCCCTTTGTAGGGAGACCGCTGGCCAGACGAAAATCCACCAGGTCCTAGAACACTGTCGACCGGTGACAGGAGATAGACAAGGCTGCCTGCTTACCGAGTGTCTTAGCTGTTAATCACAGTTATATTTTGCTGATTTATTTCTGTTTTCTGTGTGCATGGCTTCAACCGAGTCGACCGCGGTAGATTGGAGCTAACGATGTAAGATGTCTCGGGTGCCTTGCGTTTTGTAATTTTGTTTTCCGAATTCCCTTGATGCATGAGAATCGCAAGATATGGAGGATTTTAACGACCTGCGTTGAACCAGTTGCTAGGGTGTCACAGGAATGTCGTTGGTAATGTTTCGTATGGCTAAGGAGACATAACTTTTAATAAAGGGAAAAGGAAAACAAGGTTAGCAAACAGTCAAGACAGGTAAGCACGCTATAATAATGCAAGAATAAAAAGGTTTTACTATTTAGGTGGTGGCTGAAAGTATTGGATGCACCGAAAATGTTATATAGGAGATCTTTTATTTTTCAGAAAGTACGGGACTCCATACCGGTTGGATGCAAGTAACAAATACTGCCCGAATTCGCCATGCCCAATCATAAGTTGCCCTTTGTGGAAATTGAAAATGTCAGGCGTTGTTAAAAGAAATACGTGTTAAAGGAAACAAATCGGCAAGCAAATTAATGGAACATGCGAGCAAGTAGGAGGTTGAGGGACCTACGGCCAGTGATGGAGCTTGTCACTCAA